GTTGACAGGACGGTATGAAACAGGCCGGTACACGACAACGCGCGGTCTGCACTAATTGTAAGAGATAAGACGAGAGACAAGCGCGGGGAACGATTATTAATAATCCGACAAAATAGTAAAGATAACTCAGATTTATAGTACCCTATTCAATTTTTTAATTAATTAAGAGCCGTCGGATAAAATAAAGTAGAATCGCGAAAATAAAAGACGATAAACAACCAAAGTAGTAAATACGTAACACAGTAATCCGGAACACAGACGCCACCGTACACCGAGGTACGAAACTGCGGTCACGCTACTATACTCTATTTCCCGAGTGGCTACGAGTCGGCACGGTTCAGTTTTCGGTCGTTCTGCGCATCTCTCATCCATATTTACCACTTCCCAATACATCAGATCTCCGTTCTGACTTCACGCGGTATCATACGATACAACATATAGAGCGTACTGTTTTGACAGTTATTGAAAAGTATCAACATTTATATTTTGCGCAACATTGAACATTAGTATCGTAATTATTACATGTTTCATTGAATCCTTGTAAATATTAAATATTTGACTATTTCTTATCCACGTGTATAATTCTCTATCCTGCCTATTCATCCTTCTTATTGTCCTACCGTGTATAATGAACCGTGGTCGGTGAGGCGGCGATTAACGCATGGTGGGAGGACCGAGACGTTCGCTGCGGCCCCCACCACCTTTCAAGCTGCGCGGAAGGCTTCTAGCCACTCGGGAAATAGAGAATAGGCGTGCTGTCGGTACGGTAAACAGAGCGGAACTTCCGCCAGAATGAGCATAAGCCGTCGATAAAGACGGAATATATAGTTCCACACTTAATAAAAATCGAAATATATGAATACATAAATACCGGACGGATAGTTAATTAAGCAAAAAAATCCGAAATAAAAATAAAATTATTTCCGAATTGTAAATAGAATAAACACGCAGATATGTATCGTATACCACGTGCAAGAATCAGGAGCCGTTCAATGCCCTTCTACAGGGTGTCCCAAAACTAGTGTAA